AAAAAAAAAAAAAAAAAGAAAAGAAAAGAAAGAAAGAAGAAGAAGGAGGAGGACCTTAACCATGGCTATTCTCGACAAGGAAAGCCGTTCACGCGGTCTCCGAATGCCATCGCTTTCTGCAATCAAATCCAGAAAGAAAATCGCCGAATCACCAACACGGAGAGATTCAAGTTCCGAGGAAGTCGCGATACCAGCACGAATGGACTCGGGACCGGGCCGATCTCTTCACTCGCAAGAGAAGGACCTGCCGCCCAACCCGCTGCCTTCTCCTCCGCCATTCCCCTCTGCCCCAACCGACTCATTTTCAAACCAGTCGCCGTATCATCACATCAACCCTACACCTAAATATGAAGACCGCCCGCTTCCCAGATTTCCTCGAGTTCCCGTTCCCAAGCGGGAGGAGCCTCCGGCTCCGGCTCCTGTACAACAAGTGACTCCTCCATCCAGTGAAGATCAGTACCCTATCCACCATCAGGAACACGTTCGGCCAATCGAGGACCCTCTAGAGAGCTTTATTCCCGAGCCAGAGCCAGAACTCGATGATACCAGTGCGACTGTTGAACCGGTCTCAGTCGAAGAGAGTAATGGACCATGGACGCCGCCTGATTACGAGCCCGTCGCCGCACCGCTAAACCAATTACATTATGCCTGCTATCAGGACCATCGGTCGATGCCCATTGCCAACAACCTCTGGCATCCACTTCCATGTATGACCTGCCAGAAATACGATCGAGAAATTCGATACCGATGCGTTTTCTGTTGCCTGCGCATTTGCGCCGGTTGTTACCAGGCGCTGCAGAAATGCCCGAATCGCTCACTGGAGCAGCTGATGAAAACGATGCCCTCCCACGACTAGCTTTTCACTCATCACTGATCGTTGTTCTGACCTCTGTCCGGGACATGGGTGTTGGTTCCATAGTTTAATTTCTTATACATATTTTCGGGTTGATATATTAAAGTTCAATTTCGTTGCGCTCTCGTTGCCAGAGTTTATTATCCGTTCATGTTATGATACGTCAAAGAATCTTTGCAGATATTTCGTCGTTATTTATTGTATATACGGTTATGGGTCGTGGTTTAGGTCAATGTATAGTTACTAGGCGTTCGCATAGACAGTATAGATTAATTTTGATCTGACGTACCTTCTAGCCATCTATATATAAGCATATAATAAGATAACATCAAACGCGATTTCCTAAGTAGTTTATGACGCAGGTAAGTCGTTAATCATGATCTTCCTCAGTCACACCTGGACATCCCTCCATTTCTCCGGTCTCATAGCGGAATTTACACCAGAAACAGTAATGGTGTGTCTCACGCAGATACTGCACTATCCGGTCCAGGCGCTCGCTCGGCTCGAGGGAATTAAAATCGTCTAGTTCTGGGTCTTCTTCATCAAGCTCCTGCTCAAGGATAGTTGAGATATCAGGGTTGTTGTCGAGCGCCACTTTATCCTCCCGGTCCAGCGTCGGGTCGTCATACCCTGGTAACCGTGGGTTGGGGAAGAATGACGATGGCAGGGACGTTTGCAATCGATGCCGGGCCTGGATGGAACGTTCTTTCTCCTCCCGCTCACGGACGAGCCCGCGATATAAGATGTTGATTTGCAAGGTCGGTTTGACCTTGACCTTGGGCTGCGAGATTTTTGATCCACTGGTCGTTTCTTCAGATTCCTCCTCTTCATGTTCAGTCGGGATCTTCCCACGCTTCGTCTGGATGGTCTCCCCGTCTCCTGCCCCCGCCTCCGCATCCAATCGTTCGGCAACCTTCTGCGCAGCATGAAATTGAGCTTCAGTACGGCGTGTCTCCCGTTCAATGCGGACGCGATCGCGGTAATCACCCTCTTCCTGCTTTACTTTCTTCACTGCCTCTTCGGCCTCTTCCCGGAACTTGCGTTTCTTTTCACTATCCAGACCAATACCACCCCGGTCCTCCTTGAACACCAGATTGAGTGGCTCGGCTCGGGTGCCGGATTTGCTATTGGACTCTTGATCTAATACCCCCGCACCTTGGGATTTACCTAATGCTTGCCCCGGCTTGAACCCCAGTTTGGCCATCATTTGGAACCCCTTGTTGGAAGGGTTAAGCGTGCTAGTGGCTAAGGCCGCATCACGACGTTCGGCTTCTTGGGCTGCACGTTCGGCTTTGGATGGAACTTTACCTCGAGCTTCGGCCTGAGTAGAGGAGAGGAACACATCAGTTCATTTGCGCGCCATGCAAGTGTAAGGGAAACAGAGAACAAGGGCTGTATGGCGTCAGCACATGCTACCTACCTCTCTCTGTTGTCGACGTTTTTTCTGGGTGAATGTTTCTTTCTGCTGCGGCTCCTCAATCACCATAGACATGTAATCATCCTCCTCTTCGTCCCGTACATCAGGTGCGGGGTTCTGAAGAGGGGCCATTTCCGGCGAAGATGCGCGCGAAACGGACACAGAAGTAGACCCGGAAATATGGATGAGAGACAAAAGATGCAGGATTTAGCTCGAGAATTAGCTCGTGGATAAGGTTGACACAGTAATGCTTTCTTTAAGCGGAGGTTGTCCGAGTAAACTAGGTAGTTTATTTGTTGGTTCAGGTTACTCCTCTGGGTTTCCGATTGCGGGGAAGAAAATCAGTGCAGTTTCTCAATGCGGAGGAAGTTTGGTCTCCCTCTTTGATTGGTCAATTTTCTTATCCTGGTCCCACAACAGTATCACAATTGAGAGGACTACCCATGAATACTGCTAGTACTATACTAATTACTAGTACTCGCTCACTCAGCTATATAGGTCTATTGTTAATCGAACCAATTCGGAGCATTACCTTTAAACGTTCATGCTTTAGCGTCAAGCACTGTCCACCCAGTCAGCTCTCCACAAGTTTGTTGAGTAAATGGCGTCAGCCAGCTAGCCCATTTCCCCTCCCACTACTCACTCCTTAGGCATTGACGATCAAAGTCGGTACATGCGATGACACCATTGATAATAATCTTTACCTAGTCATGCCTTGTGAATACTGAACCTTCTTCTGCAAATCTGGCCACTGCGGCCCTTGGCATCGATCAGTGCTCCCCTTAGTGTGGATTTCGAGCGAATGCTAGCTCGTATGTTTGCCATACGATGGTGGTCACGGGCCGGTAAGCCCTCTGGCTATATAAGGGTTCGCCATGGAAATTTTATAAAAGATAAGCCGACTCTACACGCAACAGTGTCTCTCGGATTTATTCTCCAGATTCACATCTCAGTAGGGGGCCACCGGGTAGAGTTGCAAACGCTTTCGGAATGGCACAGTACATTCTATTTGCCCAAGTCTTCCTGCTTCTCTTCTTGACAGCTGCTCAAGAAGTGGTGGTAGACCTTGAGTACGCTCGGTATAGGGGTAGAGCGCTCTCAAATGGCCTAGTACAATGGCTGGGAATTCGATATGCCGCCTCTCCTACAGGACCATTACGCTTCTCTGCCCCACAGAGTCCAAGCGTGGTAGCTGGGATTCAGGATGCATTTGAGGTAGAGTTGCTTATCCGGAACTATATACTGCACGAGAGCTGACGTTTTCCCTAAACCACGGTCCTACGTGTATCCCCACTAGCGAGTTTACCGATTCCTGAGGACACATCTGACTGCCTTTTTCTAGATGTGTATTCTCCGTATAGAGCCAGTAACCATCCCGAGTTTTTGCCGGTATTTGTTAGGATCCAGGGCGGGGGCTTCAATCAGAATTCAAATCCGAATTACAATGGTACCGGCTTGATACAAGCGTCTGGTATGGGAATTTTCGTGGTTACCTTCAATCATCGTGTTGGCCCGAACGGATTCCTCTCGGGGTGAGAGATTCAACAAGATGGAAGTGTGAACAACGGCCTAAAGGACCAGATTAAAGTCCTGGAGTGGGTCCAGAAATATATACACAAGGTTAGATCCTAGACACTAGCAGCAGCATGATAATGCTAACAGATTTCCCAAGTTTGGCGGAAACCCCAAACATGTGGTTGTAGGTGGTGCTAGCGCAGGAACCGCCTCCATCAACCTTCTTCTCTCAGCCTACGGTGGAAAGGACGATGATCTCTTTCATGCTGCTGCTGCGGAATCGCAAAGCTTTGCAACCATGCTTAGTTTGAATCAAAGTCAGTTTGCATACAACAACCTAGTCATCCGCACTGGTTGTGCAAGTGATGCCGACACACTTGAACGCTTGCGTGGTCTAGACAGAGGTCCTCCAGCGTGAAAACATTAACACACCCTTGGCTAATGCACAACAGGCGCCCCTATATCTATACGGACCAGTGGTTGACGGTGATTTTGTTCCCGATTATACGTACCGTCTATTCCACAGGGATCATTTTATCAAGGTGCCTGTTATTTCGGCGACGACACGAATGAAGGCACCATATTCGTTCCCAAGAACATGTCCAACGTCGGGGAAGTAGATATATTCATCCAAACTCAATTCCCAACTATTAAATTAGAGCAATTTGCTGCAATCAATGCCTGGTATTTCCATGAGAGCCAGACGCGCCAATTTCCGGACGCTAAGCCTTACTGGAGACCTGCAAGCACTGCATATGGTGAGATGCGGTATATCTGCCCTGGGATTGACATGTCATCTATCTACGCCAAGGCCAGGATTAACAGTTGGAACTACCACTACGCCGTACAAGACCCAGACTTGGAAGAATCTGGCCTCGGCGTAGATCATATAGTGGAAATCAAAGCTATTTGGGGCCCAAATTATGTAACAGGAGATCCTCCCTCATCTTATTTCACTACCAATGCGCCGATTGTACCCGTTATGCAAGGTTACTGGACAAGCTTCATCAAGACATTTGCTCCAAATCCTCATCATTACCCAGGGAGCCCACAATGGAATACTTGGGGTAATGAAGGGTATTCTCGCATCTTCATCAAGACAAACGAAACAAGGATGGAGCAAGTATCGGAAGATCAGAGGGAATGTTGTGAATATTTGATCAATATCAGACCGGAACTTCAACAGTAATACTAACTGTGTCTGTCTTGACTGCTACTCTACCTGCATAAGTCTTAGAGCCCCCATAGGCAATTAAGATACATATTTGACATAACGAAAAGAGTTCTTTTGTTCAGCAGCCTTGACAAATCAAATAATCAAGAGTATATACACATGTTCGGCATGCAAAGTATAAGCACCAACATAATAATGATACCTGAAGCCCAACCAAAACCAACAAGAATATCATAAATAGCGACATGATTACCGCTTGCCCTGGCGCAATCTCCTCTCCCTCTCGTAAGCATTGGCCTCTCTGCCCTCTTGGTTCTGCACCTCGGCCACAAGTCGTTTGTATTTCTTCTCGTACTCGGCATCGCGCTCCTTCTTTTCGCGCAGCTTCTCGCGCGCAATGAAGTTGGCATCCTTGCGTAGTTCCCGCATGGCGCCCTTGCGCTCGCGCTTGTACTCGGCCTTGAGCCGGTTGGCTTCCGCGCGCTCGCGGTTGGGGTCGTAGTGCTTGTCTGGGTTGAAAGTATCCTCGAACTTGGGAATGGCGGTTTTAATAGCCAACGGGCGGTGATCGTGGAGTAGAAGCGGGCGACGTGTAAGGCGGGCTTTTGAGGTGTGGCCATCGAATTTATCGAGGGTCGACTGCAGGGTGTCTTGAACAACCGAGGGAATCCTACCCTTGCAGGATCGGCTCAGGAAGCGAAGAAGTTTCTGAGCTTCAGCGAAGATCTCAAGGAAGGCTGATAATTCTGACCACATATCGGAAGCGGTGCTGAGGAGAGAGATGAATATGTTGAGGAGGGAAAGCTTGAGATCTTCTTGGGCCTTAGTGCTTTCCGGGCCAGTGATGTCCCAGAATTGGAGTTTTCTCGACTTCAGCGATTTGGAAATCTTCAGTCGTATAGATGCCTCCGGACTCCGGGACGGGAAGAGACCGAGGTTGCTCTTTGGCTCCTCCGGGGCAAGGTTGCACAGGGCGTTAAGGACGTAGTTGATCAATTCGGGCATGTAGCGCTTAGAAACTGATTGATATTGGAGAACCAGGCTTGCGGCATAGGCGCCCGTTGCAAAGTCTGCGAGAGTATTCACGGCGCCTTGTCCTAGGTACCGCGAAAGGCACAGGTGCGCTGGCGTTGCGACGGCGTGGAAGTGATCAGAGGTTGGGAAGGTAGTGGCAATTCCAGTTAGAATGACCAGATCACTGGGCCGGAGATTAAGTGGCCTGTCTGCTGCGATTTCACGTAGACGAGCCCTGAACTCCTGGGATACGCTCTCGGGGTGGCTCTTTGCCAGAGAGTGGACGTGACGGAGGATGTTCTCAAGAATGGCAAAAGGAGGATGCTCAGGCTGTTCGGCCATGTAGGCGATATGCTGAATTAGAATGCGGGAGAATTGGCCAAGCTTCTTCTTATTGTCCGGGTGTAGACGATGATGGTGCAGAGCTCGAATTCTCTGAACGACCAATGGAAGGTCCTCCATGGGCACATCTTGAATGATCTGGAGGAACTCCTCATGATTCTTCGGGCAAGGGTATGTATAAGCCAACCCTTCACTAGCTTCTGGCGCATCAGCTGCAGCAGGAGCTTCTCCGGCGTTATCGCTAGGGAGAGTAAACCCGTTGATAAGCTCGTCTTCTTCGTCCTCTTCCACTTCCTCCTCTGACTCATCTGCAGATAATACCTCCTCATCACTGTCGCCAATTGATAAGCTAACATCGGATCTCGTCTCAACAAGATCATCATCAATAATAAAATCATCCTCGTCTTCGACGCCAAGCTCGGCGCGGGTACTGGCCTGACCGGAAGACTGTTGCAACCCAAAAGCCTTCGCGTCATCTGGGATGGATTCGTCATCGGATATCTCACTTCCTCCCTCTTCTTCTTCGTCTTCCTCGTCTTCCGACTCAGTTACTTCCTCGCCGCGCATTCTCCGAACACGCTCTTCTTCTAGAGCCTTCAGCCGCTCGGCTTCCTCCGCGGCCTTCTCCTCCTCTGTCTTTGTGCGGTCCGTTGGCTTAGATCGCTTATCAAACGTTAATTGCTTAAGGCGCTGATCATATTCCTTTTCAGTATCTCCTTTGGCCATGCCCTCCATAAGAGCAGCGCGGTCTGGGTTCATAGATGCCAGGTCACTCTTCGGAGGTTCTGGCTTTGGCGGTGGTTTCACCCCTCTTAGCATTTCGAAAAGATCAGGAAGCCCTTTATCGAGTTCTTCACGGAGATCATCATCGTCCTCCTTAGCTTTTTGCCGCTCATACTTGTGAAATTTCGACTTGGCAATGACCTCCTTCATGACTTCGTGTTTTGATTTCTTTCGTTCAGGATGTTCCTCCCCGTCTTCTAGATCCTCTGGGCCATCAATCTCGCCATCATCGAAGAAAACTCGTTTCCTTTTTCGGGCTGCTTCGGAATCCGAGGCATCATCTTCCAGCCTGCCCAAGTCTCCCTCTTGGAAATCGTCATTATCGATATCATTCAAAGACTGGCCTTTGTGTGTGAGTTGAAATTCTTCTTCCTCGTCATCCCCCTCCAGATTGAACATTGATTCCTTCCGCATCTTGCGCTGACTTGCTCTAGCATAACGTTCGGCGGCTCTCTCTTCAGGCGTCATAGTCGGATCATCTTCACCGAACCGACGATCTAATATGCCACCGACCTTGTTCCTCTTCTCCATTTCTCGCAATAGCGTTTGGCGTCTCTGTACCGAGTAGAACCATTAGTAAATACAGTGAGACATAAAGCTGCGATGAAACTCACTTTTTCTTCTCCCAGTGACTTGGTAACGCCAGGTCGTGCACGCGAAGCAGCAGTGCCCGAATTTCCATCTCGAGTTGTCACATCAAATTTTGTCCGTGTACCCCCCGCTTTGATTTCGAACGGGTTGAACCGGTCTCGAATTGACTGCAAAGCAGCATTGCGCTGGACCCGATTTTGCGCCGCAGCACCACTCTTCGCATTCTGGCGCTTTTGCTTTTTCGACTGCTGTGGCCCCAGAACTCCACTGTCGCGGAGAGAGGCCTTGAGCTGCTTCAACTGCGACGGCGGCATATCTGGGTGCTGAAGATGATGCAAAAGCGTTCTGTTTCTCCGAAATTTTTGGCGGCGGCAGTATGTCCGAAAAAAAGTTATACTCACCGCCTTTATGTACTGAATTCTGCCGGTTTGTCTTTAAATCATCATTGCTCTCCGCTTTCTACGATACCATTAGTATAGATCATTCTCGTTTCCAAGCTGAACCATGCCCTCTCATATGAACGATAGGTTGTTATGGCTATGTCTAGGTGAGCTTTTTATGATTTAGTTATGGCAAGTGAATGGGCCACTGACCCCATAGGTGTTTCTCTTTTCTTCGCTGTTCGCGGCATAGTCACGGACCTCCGCCGAGTGCGAGATCTGACGGAGATTAAGCATGTCGAGAAGGAAGATAAGATGATCAGTGAAGGCACGGAGGATGGTTAGTTACAATTTTTTTTTTTTTTTTTGGTGTGAGTTATCTAGTGGCTGATTGATCAACAGCCCTCAAACTGGACACATTACTCAAGCTCTCTGAAAGCACAAGTTACGACCTCCGGGCAGCGTATGGCAGCTCCAGTGTACACAGCCCGCATAATAGGCACTGACATACTTCATAGTGCTTTGCGTATTATCGCCGAGAGATCTACAAAGGGAGAAACTAGAGATTTGCTTCTGAGGGACCTTGCGAGTACGAATACAGAGAGACGAAGCAAAGCCCTCAGTGCGATGTACTTCTTAGTATCAAATCGCTTACGTACGGACCTTGCATATTCGATTTAATGATATCTTAAATTGATGCTGATTGCTACGATTTAGTTTCTCGGACCTCCGTATGTGCCAGACTGAAAGATCCGCCCACATACAACGCTCTTGTCGACTGTCTCTGCAATTTCCTCAACGAACATACCGAAGAGACCTCCACCACAGTATCACCTATTTTACCCAAAACTAGACCTCTCGAGGAGAAGAAGGCGCTTGGTACACTGAACCTGGTTCTTCCAGAAAATGTGCCCGCAGCTCTGGAGGCTGGCGTCGTTAGTCGTTGGCTCTCAAAATATCCATTTCCTTGCGCGCTTTCGGAGCCGTCGCGCCGGCAAGACGTAGTGATACTCATGAAGACCTGGTGGTCCGATGATACCCTTATGAGTTCAATATTTAGCACCCTCTCTTCTCATCCGGAGGGCACGAAGCAATTACGCAAATATGGTCTAATGGGTAGCATGATTGAGGAAAACGACCAGGATGATGATGATGATGACAGTGACATATGGATGGTAGATGGTGATGATACTGCCGGCTCGAGTCGAGTCCCCGGGAGGCGCCTGCGGGAACGGAGTGCTGAGGAGCAGGCTGTAAGGAGACGAAGGAGAGAGGCTATGGTGTTGAGTGATGGGGGACGACCACTTGGTCACGACGATATCATACAACTACCTATCTCCGAATGATTGACAAGTTTCCTGTTATAGTCTCCATCGTGAGAGGAATGGACTTCATCTACTCGATGGCTGCACTATGTGATTGTTGTGGCGATTAGTTCATTTTGCTTTATGATACCCTTTTGTCCTGATATTACATAGCCCGTTTCGTCAATGTTCTTAAATGTACAATTATGATGGTATTCACAGTCCAATCCAAGCTGATTTAGCAGCGTGATCCACCTTCTTCCGACTGCTTTTAAGCATACCAAGCGCCTTGAGTTCTGATAACGCCCGATAGAACAATGTCATAGTCATACGTTCATCGTAAGCGTCACCTTGCTCACTCTCGAACACCGCATAAAAAGCTTGCCAAAGGTCGTAAACGTTCACCAGTGCCCCGGACTCGAGATATAGCTGATATAAGATAGCCGTGGCTGGCTGTCGCGCGGAAATCTTAGCATCCGTCCTATCCGACATTGATATCAAGTAGTCGAAAGGATTGGCTAAGGCACGTTCGATCGCGAAACGTGGCCTAGGGGAGAAGATCTCCTTCAAAGGATTTTTCATATCAAGAAGAAAAGCTTCATGCAAGAACAGTTCTTGTGGTCTCACCAACGTTCCCACAAAGTACCGTTCTGACAGAGCATGAACGCGATCAATTACCTTGGTATACTCAATATTCTGCTGGGGTAATTTGGCTTTGCTCTTACTGAGCTTCACCCGTTGTTGGACCACAGTTGCCGCCACAATGGAATTATGGCTACCATACTCACTCCGAAGCGGCTCCGTGCCCTGGTATGTCTGTACAAGACCTTCGAAGTCTTTCTTTATTTCTTGAAACTCCGGACAGTCAATCAGTTCTTGAGGCATAAACGCAAGGAATTCCTTCAGCTTAGAAGAGTCCAACGTTTTCAGGCCCCTAAGAAGATCATCCATATAAGTTGAATCTTGCAATTCTCCAGATAGTGCACGAATTGACAATTCTGCCATCGTGAAATTTCTTCTTATATCCATGCTCTTAAGGCATAGATAAATTGTCTTGACAACCTGGAATATATCTCTCATCCGTCGCTGTCCGATTTCCATGTACATTAGGCTTTGTTGAAACAGAAACTCGTCGTTCTCCAACAGGTTGCGCACTTGTTCAGTAGAGGCATCATCAAGGAGATGCTCGCAAAATCTAGTGTGGTTAGTCAAGAAAAGGCTAAGTTAAGTTAATATATTACCTTCGGAAAGATGGGAGGTTTCTAATTGCTTCGCAGAGCTTCCCCTGTTGCCTTTTCACGGAAGCCTCGTCTGATAGAAGCATTGCCAATGGATTTGCAAAGAAGTGTGTCATGTACGCATACTATCCCCATTAGAATTAATTAGTTTAGCGCGCGTAATATGGCAAATACCTTAACTGTCCGACTGAATGCCTCCGGTGTTTGGAAATAGTCATTCGATTTCTCAAACAAAACCCCCGTAATATTGCGCCCTAGCCAGAATCGTCCGTTTTGGTCTGCTTGTAATCGCTCGTACATGCGATCAACACAGTTACTTGCTCCGTGAATCTCGAAGTATCTACCTCTAAGAAGGGCTACGCTTGACCGAGGAAGCCTTCCTTCGAAGAGTTCAACAGATGTTGAGATACCAAATAATAGGGTAAATGGTATTCGGTCAAGCCAGGAACTAGGAACAATTAACTAAATGGACTAGCAAGGATCGTGAGCCTTACCTTAAGAGGGAGAGGAGATCAGTTAAAATGTTCGGATCAAAAGCTTCGCTGTCACGGAATGCTACGACCAGCTTTCTGATCCCTTTCCTTTTCACATAATCTCCAAGTAAATCGAGATCATACCCAAGAAGTCTGGGCCCCTACGGCCTTCTTAGCACCTCGCCCATATAGGGTATGAACAGGACAAACCCACCTCTCGGTCCGTCAAGAAATTCTGATACCCATCGTTCCCTTCCGTGTTTGTGACGGCAGCTCGGATAATATTCTTCAGCGTTGCCTTGAGGTTGGGCGCATCGCCAGATTCCAGTATGACCACTCCGCCTTCCTCCGACGCAGTCAATTGATCATTAAGCTTGGATAACAGTCTGCCAAGCGATGAAACATTGGATCCAACAGTTATTAATGCTGTGGGGATGCAGCCGTCATATCTATCATTGGTTAGGCATTTCGAAGCGCCTTCGTGTCAAAAAAAAAAAAAAAAAAAAAACCACCTACGTCTGATGCGAAGTGGACCTGACAAAGGATAAAACGTTCTCAAGAACTTCGGAGTCCACGTCATCTAGAATCTCCTGTCTGCCGTTAGCAAGACATACCATACCCAGCAAACCGGCAAGCTTCTATTGTTGGCGAACCTGGATCTTGCTTTCCTGAGTTGACCACAATAGCCGATAAGCATTGTACCTCAATTCGACCGATGACTCGTTTTCTTCTCCGTCCAGCAAGGGAACAAAAGGGTGCGACTCAATTTTCTGTTCCTTATTCTCGGGTTGCACCTTTCGTCGCTTCGAAGGTCGCTCCCCGTGAGCTTTCGCGGAAGTTACAGGCCGATAGATGTACACACCCTACAAAAGCATTAGTGAGTTTAGGATAGATTGAACCATTAGCACAGAACAGTACCTGATTGTTTGAGCCATCCTTGGCTACACCCTGTGTTTCCGTATCCAAGTCCATAATAGGTAAGCTTCGAGACGGCCTGCCCTCTGTCGTTTGGGGATGAATGAATATTGTAGAATGATTTACTGAAGCCGCGGCGGAGCTCGCGTTGACGCTAAACCAAACTGGGGTGGTATTGGTTTTCCGCCGCGGAGCTTCATGCGACAATCCTCCCCAAAACTCCTACTTCGTTACTGTCACAGCAACTTTTATTCACCAGTATTTTTTTGTCAGATGATCTAACCGCCTATACCTCATGCTGCGCCAAGCTGTTCGAGGAGCTCGGTGGTATCAGCATGTGGCCCTCAGAGCACCGTCGGCTCCGTCTCTTCCTTTGCAGCGTACATTCTCCGTCGTAACGCCACGCTCCCTCCAGTATGGCGGCCCCAATGACAAGGTCCGGTTTTACGAACAAGATACTCGCGGGAGCAAAAATAGAAGGCAGGTCAATCCAGAAGCCGAAGACAACGCTGATCGGGAGGAAGTAGAGGGCGAGCTAGCTAGTCTTGAGAAGGAACTGCAGGATCTGAAAGAAGGTCCTTACGGGCCCAACAGTCAGTTCATCAAAGAGCTACCCGAGAAGGAGAGAGCCATTGCACTAGAAGCTCTGAGAAAATATGAGGCGGAGCATGGCAAGGATGAACCCGATATTGGCCTTGAGCAGGTTTTTGATACTGAGCTGGATGAGATGTTAAAAGAGGAATTCGAGGGCCTGGCCAAAGAGGAGGAAAACTGGCATTCGACAGGGGAGGGTAACTCGCCAAAAAAGCATGTACGGCGCTCCTACGAGGTTGCGGTAGCGACTCCGGAACACCATTCTTATATCGAGAAATTCAACCAATGCCTGATCCGGATCGCAAGCGATGGATCAATCGAACGACTCGGACCGGAACTATGGAAATGGTACCGCCGTTGCAAACAGATGATCCCAGGATTCCTAGAATCAATACCTGAAGAAGCTCTGGCGTTGTTATGGAATGCTCAAGCTGGTGACCATACAAGATCTTCCCGCGCAAGCCATATCCAAATACTCGCTGAAGACGCAATGTCAGTTGGAAAGTCGCTCTCAACTCCACATCTCCTCTCTTACATTGAGTCGCTCCGAAAGACTGGCAAAACAAAGGAAGCGCTTGACCAGTGGGAGGCACATCAAACGGGGCTTTCGCAAAACAAGCAAGACCTTGAAGCATATTGGAAATTGGGTGTACGACTCTTTGCTGCTGAAAATGACCCTCAGCGAGCACAGGACATTGCTCTTGCTTTTCTAGCCAATGACAAATCACGCGAACCTCGCATCCTCCTTCCAGTCATTACTGCTTGGGGGCGACAGCTTGGCAAAGAAGCTGAGGTCAAGGCGTGGGCTCTATACTTACAACTGAAGAGCTTTCTTGAGAATACCCTAACTATGAACGATTACGATAATATCAGCATTGGTCTTTTAAAAGCCGGTAGACCAAATCTAGCTATCGCAGTGTTCAAAGATATGATGGTGACAGGGCAAGACCCAGCAAACGACTCGACCACCCTCTATAAAGCAGCCGTCGGCCTTGTTGGTCATCTCCAGGCGTCAAGTATTTCGGAACAGGAAGTGAACAAGGTATCGCTTTCGACGCTAACAGTCCTACCTCGAAGGTTCCAGAACCGATTCTTCTATGCCAGCTGGATGAAGAAGCTCATTGGAATGGGTGAAGTTGACTCTGCTGCACTGGTGATTGAGTTGATGTACGAACGAGGCGTGAAGCCGGATTCAAAACACCTCAATGGGTTGATTGCCGCTTGGCTACGTGATGGAAATCCCGACGCGCGAGAGAAAGCTGAACGATTGGGGTGGTCCATGGTTCAACAGCGGATTGACAGTATCTGGGCGCGGACCAGTTCGACTGAAAGCTCTCCGACAGTGACTGTAAGCCCCGATCAAGATAGTCCTCGCATACCCAAATGGATGCAACGAGAGATTCCATCCGCGAACATCGAAACATTTTCCATTCTGCTCCTACATTATACCCGAAGAAGCGACGATGGGATGATTAAATATTTAGTCAAATGCCTCGGTGATGCTCAGATTAAGCCAAACTCCTATTTCATGAACCACATCCTATATGCCGAGCTCCGGAAACAGGATATCGGATCTTTGTGGGACAAGTTCCGTACCATGTCTACATCGATCCAGCCCGATCTAGAAACCTTTGCTTGCCTATGGGACTGTGGTAAACTTCAGTATGATCGCGGTCGCACGACTTTTGTTGCAGATTTTCCATCTGCTCGCGGCCTTTATGCCGAGATGATGCAGTGGTATTCTCGCCTTCCTGCACGGGGTCGAGCCGCCGCGCAAGAAGAGTTTTCTAAAGAACTCTATAACCAAATAATTCGTTGTTTTTGTCTCTCTAAAGACCTCCCTGGCACACTAATTGCCCTTTACTCGCTGAGATCAACATTTGGATTCTCTCCCGACGACGTGACCGCTCGTCTCATAGTCCTGCAAGTTGCACGGATGGCCGGTGTCCCGCCCGGCACACCCAAGCGCCGGCTCCGTCGCCTTTCAACGACTCCTAAGAGCAAGGAGAACATCTCCCATGTCAACAGGCTGGTAGAGATCTTGAGCAAGCGCAAGGTGTCTGCTCTCCAGGCGCGGGGGCTTACTCTCGAGACTCTCGAGCCGCAAGAGCGGGAGCAATATCAGCTTGATATAATGACTGACCTTTTACGTATCATCATGGGCCAGGCTGCTACCGAATCGAGCAGAGTTGAGGATCAGATTGCGTCCATCGCAGAAGAGATGAATGTCCTAGGGGTGGATCTTGGATCGTCGTTGGAGGATAATGACCTTTTACTGTAGGTCTACACCAGTCACCTTTATGGTAATCAGGAAAAGTACATCATGGTGTTTAGCGGTATTGCTTTGGGATAGAAGATTGCCACGCAGCATACGGATCGGCGTTCAGGCGGTGGTGCTATGTATATAATCATGGCTCATGTGTACTATAATAGAGTTTTCCTCTCTTGAGCTGTCTTAGACACTAGGGGTCGTCATATATTTCTAAAACCCAGTGGCTAATAATAAATCTACCCCCTTCCAATTTGATTATCATCCGAAACTACAGATCTTTGGAACATAGTCTTCATTCATTCTGTTCGCTGAGAAATCACAACTGAAGCGTACAGTTAGGTATATAAACCGACTGTACCGTATCTACCTACATAACCCAGAGCCAACTGACAGGAGGGAGATACCACATTGATCCTCTCAGAGCCAGGTACCACCTATCGCAACAGAAGCCTAGACGACCACAAACCGCCCAGTAGCCCAAAATACAAGGGCACCGACGCCACAAGCAAGGAAGCGGCTGCATTGCGAACATTGTATCTGGGAAAGTGACACGTGCTTGGCCCAACATAATGACTCGGATGAGCGCCTCTCATACACTGGGTCATATTGCCATCCACCCACTTTTCAATCGTGCTATTCGGCACATTAAGGTCAGGCGTCGGAGGGAAGTAACACTCAGGGACTTCGCACCAGTATTGGTGCTCGTTGTATCTATGGATGATATTTGGTGTGCAGCAGGTTTGTAATGCGTCTAAGTCTTCTGGTTCGTTTGGTTGATCGCGAATGTAATATGAACATATGTCTTTCGAGTCCAGTTCGGGTCCGTGTAAGCTTTCCAGAGTTTGTACGGGCAGCTCTGTTGTTGCTGTCGTTGGCGTTGTTTTCTCTGATGTAGACATGGTGTGGATTATCAACCGGGAAAAGAGATCTCTGATTTCCTTGATCTCGAAAAGACTATGATAAGATCAGGTGAAACTTAAATACCAAGGTCATGCAGATCTCACGAACAGCGAATGGCTTCAATATCTTTTCTCCACAATCTATGCTAGGTCATCTTGTTTCCTACCGTATATGCTTTAGGCCTTAGGGGGGCTTTACGATTCTGCTGCCGCTCCATCCTTCTAGTCCTCCGCCGAAACAAAACAAAATAGGGGAGAGGGAAAGAGTCTTTGTCTTAAGGCCAAGGCGGTTACTGACCCAATAAAAGGGCCTCTGTTTTGTTTCTCTCCATGCGGGGGATAGTCGACAATCCAGCATTGGTTGAACCGATGCTGTACAGTCTCCATTGAATTGCATAGACTAAAGTCGGAGTAAACAAAGATACGAAAGTGCCATAAAATCTGATTAGCCAATCGTAATCGTAATGTATCATAGACTTTCGCCGGGCGTTGTCTTTGTCTGGTTGGTCTTGGTCAGGTCATACCTAACCACACGCAATAGGCCAGTGCAATAATCGTCTAGCTTTCATAAGACTACTAGCACTCGTCGGCGTTCAGTTAGATATAAATTCTTCTTTATATAAGGTAACACAAAGGCAATCCTGTTGCAGGCCTTCACAGTGATCTACACAGAAGATGTTGTCTGGACTACTCCAAATGGAGAGATTGCTTTCCAAACTTTTCAGTATGGGTCTGACCGCAAGCCAACAATTTATCAAAGCCTTCCGTACTTTTATGTATCTCAAGTCAGAATGTATGGGATACTCCTGGAAATCTCCTTCCCTCTCTGCCTTAGCCTGTCTCTAGCACACGCAATCCACATGGATGACACAACAGGCGCAAACAACACACTGGAAGAGAGGCAGCTTCTGGGTCATCAGTTTATGTGTTGCATGGGAGACTGCAGCTATGAGCTAGTTGGGGATGGAGACCCACATACGATTTATCTCCACAGGCGAATAACCAGTACAGGAGAGTGTCGGGATGGCCCAGGTGCTAAGGGCTGTGGGATTGGATTCTCTGCGAGTCATACATTTGGGTACACCGTCTCAGCCGGAGCGAATATTGGGTGGTACGCTCCTGGCTTCTCGGTGACAAAATCATGGACCGTGGGCGAGATCAAGACCTGTAATGCAGATATAAATGCAACGGTCTGTCTTTGGTACGATATGGCATATGTCAGTAGTGCTCCATTTCGATCCTGGGAGTTGGTTCTTCTAACACACCGTGACATACCGCGTACACAGTACAAGTCGTCAATAAGCACCTGTGTAGCTCGGTGTGTTCTAACCAGCCCACAGGGCCGTGAGTGTTTGGTGAACTTTTATTACAGTTGTTCTTCCACTGATCAGGTTGATTAGGCTCGTCATGAAGGCGCCAAACGTTAATAATGCCCGTGGTGGTCATTGGTACTGTGCATATGGCCATGACTGCCGTGGAGAAGGTGAAGAGCACTGGTGTCTGACGGAAGATTGCCCACCAACGGGGTCGTCTCACGGCTAAACCCAGGCCCGATACACACTATGTACCTAATTAGTCTACGAAGTACCCAGCAAGCCTACAATCTACGAGGTATATACAGGGCGATTTTCTGCACGTTGAGAGGCAGGGGTTATTGACTACTTCAGGCCCTACCGCTACTATATGTAATATGAAACTCTCAGAGCAACCGAGAAAGAATGTTTTGGTCGAGGTAAATAGGAGAGACTGTGGAATTTGCAATGTCAAATGAAACTCCAAGACAATGTACTGTACAAAACCATCTACTCGCGCCCATAACAGAAGGCTCGGTACAACAACGACACGCAGGATACAAATATGCGTACTGCTCCAGTTGGCCATCCAATCTCATTAGCTATCTCCATATCAGGAGGTAATGAATGTCAATCTATAGGGTGCTCAAGCCGGAAGCTGCACGAAAGAGTGGGGACGGAAGTATTTCCATAGGTCACAAAAGCAAATATGGCTGTGAGACGACTTAAGTGTCGGTGGAAGACATTAAAAGTATTGAAACACCAACCAGTAGCCCAAATGAAGACATTGTTCCGTCCAGCGAATAACCACACCCATGGCAAACAGGCATATGCGAACATGCTAGTCCGTTGAGCAACGTACTTCCATGCCTGCTGCGAAATGGTTGGCATCCTATGAGCATGTTAGTCGACGCAGTACCACATCATTTAAAAGCGCCATTGTCCGTACGTGGCATTTGGAATGAAGATGTCGTGAAACCCAAAGCTGAGGATAATACACATGATCCAAAATCCCCCCACCACGAGAATCTCCGGACGATTCGGGATGCTACATCCCAGGAATCGGCGTTGATGATACGATCCGAGAGCTGCAGGGACGGTGATGTAAGCCTTCCAATAAAGGCTAAGACGATCACATATTCCAGCTTTGTCTGGTAACTGCTGTTCTCGCTTGCGCTCCACATTTCCACTGCCACTTCCTTTGTAGATATGCCGCGATGAAGTCCATAAACGATGTAGTGTACCCATGAGCAAGATTACGCCCCAGTAGCCCATTACACTCCAGCTCAGCCGCGTTGATTTCGGTAATACTTGGTCTTTCGCTAGCTGCGATACATAGTCAGCGGTGTTGACCAACTAGCGAATCGAGAATATGTATCTCACATAACTGTGGAAGGCAACGAGATAGTATGAGTGTGACAGTAATACAGTCGATGTCAGCATCGTTCTATTATATTGACTGGTATCAACATGCGGAAGTTCCGCTAAGTATGAACTCGTTGTATTGTCCGATATCGCATCAAAATTCAATGGACTTCTGAGTCCCTGACAGTAATCTTCCCACAAATTTACCCCAGCAGACAGCTCCTTTTCCGAACAGTATAGCTTTGCGGATGTATAGATGGACTTTACTTGCACAGGGTTGTTGCATGCAGTATTTTGTGAGTAGGAGCCAGACCATGTCAGGGTTAATAGCGATTCATAAATGGAATAAAAACAACATACACCCAAACTGGAAGCAGAGAGACCACTCCAAGAGCGAGCGAGGCCTATGAGCGCAAATAGCGTAATGATATGATATAAATGCATTTTGGGCGAGAGACCGGCACTCGGAGATCTCTTCTTGAAAGTCCATACACCATTCGAGAATCTTCAACACCCTTGTTTTTATATGTTGCTTTCCACGTACCCCCTCCCATTGTCTCCTAAATTCAAATACTAGCAGCCATTTGGTCTTAGCTTTTGTGAATATGAGGAACCTCATTACCATCAGAGGAGGGAAATCATAATGCGTGGGGCGGGCCGTGGCGTATTGCACCTCGCACTTCAGTTCCATCTCGAAGCCAATTCTTGGTAGGGATTGAGTGAAGTAAAAGTGGGCTTCCTTTTCGTGTTGGATAGCAATTCAATAACCCACGCAGATCACGCTCCGTTCACAAGATTTGCGCCATTCAATGACAGCCTCTGCTTTCATTTCTCTCGAGCCATCCCTATATCCCTGCTCACTATGGGGTATAGGCGATCGAATGAGCATCACTAGTAGCGCTATTATGTAAAATCTACTTTTCATAAAGTACAAACACATGATGGCTATCAGATCGTCGATCAGATTAATAACTGGGCCCACATTTCTATGCTCGGCTTCCGAGTATATCTAAGGTGCATCGATCATCCCATCTCAAAAATTTGGATTGGACGATAATCTCACAGATCTGATCTGAGATAACTTTTACCTGAGTACCCAGTCTATTGAGGGTCATTCTACGCATGATGAGAAGCAAGATCGTCTCTTAAATAATATATTTGATTTATATAACAACTGCCTTACATGCATTTACTTGAACATGTCCACTTCTAAAACAGGTGGTGGACTACTTTTCAACGACCTCGTCGAGGAATGGATATTCTCACAATTAGAGGACTTTCATCGTACCGAGCCTCAATGCTAGATTCACTGAGCACAGGGATATTATGGTCAGCGACTACTACTAGGTTAGAGTGAAGATTCGAAAGATTACTCAGTCATGACTGGCTGAAGCTTTCCTCCGATACCCAAAAAGCCAACTCCAGACAAGCTTCGGATCAAAAATATTTCATCTTAGGGCTCCCCACGTACGGAAGATATCGCATCGATCTACCCAATAGAGTGGGATACGTTCGAGCACCGAAGAAACGTGACAAATAGCTTTCAGGAATACCGCTGTCATGGCGCCCTAGCCGCACAGAGAATAAAGAATGATAATTAGAATGCCATTTTGAGCTCCTGGGACTTCAAACTCAATCCTTTTTGTCAGCGATGTCATATCAGTTGTCTAATGCTGAGAAGCCAGTTTGAGACGACTCGACACACTTAGCTGGTTGTACTCTTACCCCTCTCTCTATCGTTGTCGTGTGACCCTCAGAAGCCAACAACTTTGGTTCATCTACATATCAACGCGGGATGATCAATAGTTCTGCAGGTCCTCAAACCAATATGCCCCAGATCAGCACATCCACAGTAATATGCATTACCTCTCCAATATAAACTGAAGCCATGCCATTGCTATTACTAGCTACCTTAGTCAACAAGGACATTGTCACAAAAGTGCATGCACGCTAGTATCGTTTAGGTACCCTACCGGCTACAACGAGTACCAATAGCCAAAGTGACTTTCGAGACAGCTGTTCTTATTCATGATCTACCCATTATAAAGAGTTTCCAACAATGTCTTTATATGTTACGGTACCATAACTGCATTCGTGTCTCAAGACCGAGACCTGGTTTCTTGGTCTGCATGACGTGTGATTTATCAAGTAGGTATTTGTGGATCATAAGAGCGTACTTCGCCGGTGAACTTCAACCAAGTTTCCATAGTCTAGTGGTTAGGACGGCGGTCTCATAGCAATATGACAATTCCTATCTAAAGGAGTTGCAATCCGCAAGCACGAGTTCGATTCTCGTTGGAAGCATTCTTTTTTATGTCAATATTTTCGATCTTCCACCATTTCTCCATACATTCCGTATGCTGTGTTCAAATAGCTTGCCATCAGGTCCACGTGCCAACCAGCTTCGATTTTTGTCTGCTACATGGTCTTCATACACTCATCCAGCAGCGCAGCTCCTTGCGTACATACACACCTGGCACATAGGACACTCTATATACTGCCTGGTCACCTACAGTGCGTGATATCTCTAGCTCAGGAGTCTGGAATGCCCTCTCTAGCCGCCAAAGGAGACCCCAGTAGTGGGCAGAAACTAAGGCCTACTGTCGCGGACCACCATTACATGGTCCACGGCCAGATGTGTTCGACGATCAAAATATTTAAGTACGCTGACTGATATCGCGACAGTCCCCAGGATGTCGCCAAGTGGATGAACTAAGCCGGCGGGAGATTGGAAAATTAATGCCGACAGGGTAGCATCCCTCTTGTAAAACTTGTGTGCATTCAGCTTCAGTGCATATCCACAGCCTGGCTTCGCGGTTATCTATCCTCGAACAACGGGAGAGGTGGGCTCACAAGAAGCCAAAAGAACAATGGGGAAAAAAAGAATGCTTCCAACGAGAATCGAACTCGTGCTTGCGGATTGCAACTCCTTTAGATAGGAATTGTCATATTGCTATGAGACCGCCGTCCTAACCACTAGACTATGGAAACTTGATATATTAATTAGTTTCAAGATTAAGTTACATAACCCTAACAACTTACACAGCCTTAATATATAGAAGCGCCAAGTACTTTCAGTCTTCAACTTGTTTACTTCTTTCTCTCTTATGTTAGATTGTATGGATGTTCTTTGAACTGTTGTGAGGATTAACCTATAATTGTCTTATTACTATCCTTCTTCCAGCACTAAATGTCTAGTACTCACGTAATGTTGCTTTGCTGCTGAGTTGATATATATATATATTGTGGGGGGAATATAGTGTTCGAGGTGCGATCTTGATTTCTATGGCATTTTGGTCGAGTGGGATTGACATATATGTACCTTGTGAGCCCACATATGTTTGCTGATATGATCCAGATAGGATATTTTCAAGGTACATCGCCAACCATACTCCTACCGGATGGCCTACACCCGTCACATACGGAGTAACCAACCAATTGCCAAATAGAGTCACAGATGAAACGTAGCACTCACCCCTTACTAGACGCAGGAGGCTCGACAAGGATCATACGGCAAGAATGGCACAATCGAGCGTCAAGGTCAAACGCAACAGGAACAGGTAGCTACCTATTTCGAGATTTAACGCTAGACATATAGGAAGGTTGAAACCAAAGTACTATTACAGAGGAGAAACTCCATATGAGCCAAGCTAATAAACACGCCTAAGTGACTAAAATTGCAGTGTATCCCGCCTGGAGATAGAATATCAATACCGAATCACTGATACGTTAGTCTGATAACCCCTCCTAGGAACCAAGACTACAGGACTGACACGTCCGAAGCCCGACACATAGGAGAAGGAAAAAGCATCCGAAGCTGTACAACATCTCTAGTCGGAAGATCACCAATAACAAGATGCCCTACATCAACCACCCCCATCGGGAACAACATCACCGCATACTGGCCATGTTTCCCAATAACACTCGGCACTAATGCCTTAAAGATACCCTAAACCAATCAGCAGACCAAGAAAGCATTCGGCTTGGGTCTACTGAGAAGCTTGGCGGGTACGTCAGCAATAGTATCTCTGGCAAGGATAGGTTACTGGTTACCAACATGGGGGTTGATCTGTACCAAGTTACACCTGGCAGATATCTCGTAGTCATGAAGCTGTGTGTCAGGATCTAGACGAGTGTTCTTTTACCGAGTGATATGGCCGTTGGCGAATTGCATCGTGAACCTGGCATAGCATGAAACAAGATGCCTTGCTTGTTTACTAGAGCGCATACACTGGATACTTAAGCGCTAGCCGAGGCCCAGTATAGATACTAATCTGCCAACCCCTACGCCCTCCCTCCTCTTTGCCATATAGACCCTAGTGTCCCGTAGCAGGGCGGGGGCTGAACACATCATTCCTTTAGCGGTAAAGTTGGCCTATCCACATTGAAACCCCACAGAACAAAAACACGAGACTACACAGTACAGGAGAAGTGGGATTGGTAGAACTTAAACGCTGGATCCTCTATGTGTCCTATACCGCCAACCTGGTTATAGCCCCCTAGAGTGTGGTACGGTTGACGGGAACCGCCAAGGGAGGTCTAGTCTAGTCTCATGCTATAGATATCTATCATCGCAAACACCAGGTACTTTCCGTCTGTCTATATCCACACTCTGTAGACAATGTTATTTGAGCTGGGGAATCCTGATAGTCGTATCTGGATGTCCATCAACATTTGCATGATGAGGTTGAAGTTACAATACTAATCGCGGCATAGTCGACAATCAGTATCACACCAGCAAATTTATCCTAGCAAAATGTATCAGAAGCCAGAAAGCATGAATTGGTCACCTCCACCTCCCAACCCAAAGAGAGCGACCAAATAAAAAAAACGACCGACCTGGGACTCGAACCCAGAACCTTCAGTTTTGATCTATTGACCAATGGCGTACTAGGAGACTGACGCTCTAC